ACTTAAAAGGATAGAATACGGGACAGAAGAAATCCATCGTACGCAGCCGTAACGGCATTCAGCGAGAGTTAAGGCTGAACTCAACCCATGACGTACATGGAAATGTCTCTATGGCCGCAAGTGGAAAATCTGACTTTGTCAAGAGCCGGTATTACGGTTCATCGATTGCCGATAAAACCTCTTCTGCATTGAGGCATGGTGGCACAGTCAGTTGGAAGTCACGTTCGAACTCACTCCGCAAGAGAGCAGTTTTGGTCTTAGCCAAGAATTCTTTTATGACCGGGTTCAAACCCAAGTCTGCGTCACTCGCCCTTCTGATTTTCGAGGACGATAAATTAGTGCCACTTTCTGGAGAAAAAAAACAAGAGGATCACATAGTCTGCTTGCCACACATTACACTACTATCAACTGTGTCTTTTCAATAAGGCACTCTGAATGGAAACGGAACGGAAATAGAGATCAACGCTGTACCATTAGCGTGATGAAGAGCGACTGAAATAGCTCAGCCATCAAGGTGCAAGAAGGATCGACATTCCAACGGTTGCAAAACTTCCTTGCGTTTTTTTCTATTGCTTTGTGTCGTAGTTGATCTTGTTATCAATAAGTTAGATTAGTGTAAAACGGGTGTAAAGTCAAGGTCGTACATTTGGCACATTGACCTTATGCACCCCTATTCATAATTATACACTATCACAGTACGAAGAAATAAATTGCTATACTGTAAATATGATTTCGCTTTTCGATTCTAGACCGGTTGCTGGATCTATGGGCATTTTGTAAATTTATGATCAACAGAACAAAGTAATATCTAAAGTAAGCATTTTACTCCTTTTTAATTTTTTCGTACCGGATTGATGCGGCGTAAGTACCGTCCCATAGCTTCCAGTGACCTATGGGAAATACCATTTAAGCAGAACTCAGCTCCATGGTATTTGAGCACCTACAATGCACGAATGCTAAACCGTCTCACTGAGCAGGACCGATCTAGGGCCTGTTCGAACACCTGCAAATAGGCCACGACCCGTAGGCACATTTATACACAAAAATAAGACTGGGCTACAGGAAGCAGGAGGCGGTGCTCACGCCGCTTCAATCCGGTATCAAAAGGTTAAAAAGGATTATATATCTTTTTGGAGGAATCAATAATTTTCGGTATGCCAGTGAATCCTTCAGATCAGGTGATGCCATCATTATAGTGTGGTGCCTTCAACGGTAAATCGACGAAGGAGCTATACTCTGTACTTTGTAATTTCTACAGTATTACACATGGAGGAGGAATCACATTGCACTGAGGCGATCAAACTGAAGCGGCGAACAAAGAACTGTTTCACACAGTCCACCTAGAGATTGTATACAGCAATGAACAGGAACCGACGAATATGATGGAGGGAGTGTCTTACTTAGACGAGCAGGCAAACGGCTATGCACTTTTCAGTGACCAAAGAAATCACAGTAAGCATCTACGGATTTGCAAGCGCCTATTTTAGCAGAGGACATAAGTCTGAGAGCTGAGCAAAGCGATGCACCTCGGCTATGAGCTGTAGTTAATTACTGCAACAATTTCCAGACCTCGACAAAACCGAAGGAGGCTTAGATTATTTTAGCATTATAAGCATTTCTAAGTTCGAGTGTTTATTATCCTGATTCAGCTGCCATGCTGGGTTTAAACGTTTTGGTCGTAAAAGCGAAATCAA